TTCCAGCTGCGTACTAGGGTTAATGTGCAGAGCGAGGGAAAATTAGGGTTTTTGTGTTCAGGGCGAAAATCGATCCAACGGTCAGGATTGGCGTAAAGTAATTGGTGAATTCATAGTCGTTAGATAAACAAGTATGAGTATTGTTATTAACCTCGGGGGTCTAAAGATAGGAGAATCCTTAATTTCACCCACTAAGTTTAATTTATTTTCACTTTTCTCCCAAGTTATAGGGATGGCAAAAAAGTTCGGACGGCTCAAGCTCGATTACACGAAGCCTCATTTTTTTGGCCGGGCTTTGCTCGGCTCAGGCCCAAAAAAGCTCGAACCGAGTCCGAACTTTTTTATTTAATTTATAGTACGTATAAACCGTACAAATTTTAAATTTTTTAAGTAAAAATGTATATTTGACATTAAAAAAAAAAAACCCAAATGGCTCAGTCTGGGCTCGGCTCTGCCCGGCCTGCTCAAGCTTGGGCCGAGCCTCATTTTTTTCGTCAAACTTTACTCGGCTCGACTAGGGCTCAAAAAAGCTAGGCCTAAAAAAGTTCAAGCCGAGCCCGATCTTTTTTTTTTGGGCTCGTTGACATAGCTAAGTACACTTATCTGAAAGAATCAACCTTGACGCCACGTCACCAAGGAGGGAGCCTACGGTGCCCCAAGTATGGACCTTACACCAATTTTGGAAAAAAATAAATTCTGGAATAGTGGTTAATGTAAGAATGTGTGGTTAAAAAATAATGAGAATTTTTGAGTTTATGTGTAATATTATTTTATTGATGGAATGTGTGGTTGAAATGAAGAAAGAAAAAAAAATGAGAAGAAAATGAGTGTCAAAGAGGGGTTATATTTCTCTTACATATCTATGACTCAGTGTTGGAGTGGCAACGGGGAGATAGAAGGTATCGGAGTGGTTTAGGCCCGCCATCCACGAATTTATGAACATAGAACTCAACTAATGCATCTGTTGATGTTTTGAAATTAAAGAACACTGAATGTCCATCGGGTATCTATGCATGTCTGCTGGGAAAAAAAAGGTTGGTTTATGATTGTTTTAGATCTTGGATTTTATGAAGAAATCTACCCAATGGCATTATCAATCCACTAAAAGTATATTCAATTACATGAAACAAATGGGAACACCGGGTTTCTGTAACTAAGTCAAACTTTCTTCCCTCGATGAAAATTGCTCTAACCGTGTTTTTTATCAGCCCCAGCTAAACCCATTTAAATCTAAATTCTTGCAACTTGAAGAAGCATCATTTTCATCCTCTGTGTTTAGGTCCAGTTTGGTTGAAGAGTAAGGTGGTTGAAACTTTGGCGATGTCTTCTGCTTCTCTAGATTATTTGAATCATTTATATGAGGATCTTGGTCCAAAAATATATACTCTGTACCAGTTCCTTTATATGTTTCCTCTGAATAGTTGCTGCTGCTGTTCCATTTTCCTCTCTGAAGTCCAATGCTCATTGATAAATTGCGGGAGTTTTTATTGTCATCCATAGTGGAAAGAAACTTTCTGCTCTCTGTCATGTCATCGCACCATATGAGTTCTGTATCTTGCAGCTTGGGTTCATTGTCATCCTCCCTCCGCTTGGTTAGTGCTCTAAAATTCAAAGTTGTCAATCCCATTTGATTAATGTACAGTTCTTGGTCCCTCATAGAACCTTCATTGGAGGTTAAGCATTTATTGATTGAATCATCTGTTGGCTTCATTTGTGTGTGCTCAAGACACATATCCGACAGTTCTTTCGTCCCTGAAATTGCTGAATTCAGGCATTGTGTGGATACTTTGGACACCAAATCAGATAACTCAATCTTGGCAGCCTCTAGAGCAGTTGTTCCCAAGTTCTGTCTTCCAAGAGTTTCCTGTGCTTTCTCAAGTACAGACTGTAAATATTTACCTTGAGCCTCTATGCGGAGCTGTAAATGGCGTTGTACCTATGCATGCATGGATAATAAACCTTGTAATCTTAGCTTGAAAAACTTAGAATGATTTCATCGCCTAGCAGCCATAGCATATTCATATTTACTTGTTGGAAATGTAAAGATTTCAACAATTGTATCAAGTTTCATTTCTGGAAGAGGTCAAACTTGTAATCTTAGCCCCTGTTTGACAATCCTTTTTTTACAATAGATTTTTGGAAAATGTGTAGTTAAAAAGTAGATAAATTTTTTACATTTGAGAAAAAATAAATTTTAAATTATGGGGCTCGAACAGGGACTTAATCTAAAATGAGTAAAATATTTTGCCTCGATAATTTGGTTTTGAAACATATGAATCTCTAACCATTAAGCAACGTTTTATTTCAGAATTCAAAGTGTCTTACAGAGGATTAGCACTTGATTTTTTGTTGCATTACATGATGTTATATTATGTGAAAAGGACTAGCAATTGTTTCATGCATGAAAAGTAATAAGTGTTTTCTTTTTTTTTTTTTACCTCGAGCTGCTCATGTAGCCTTCTCTGCGTTTCAATTTGCAGTTGTATTGCTTCACTTAAAGGTAAATTTCTGAAAATTAGGCAGAACAGTTAACAAAATGAGTTGAATTGTGATTAAATTATAAGAGTCAACAAAGAAAAAATATAATGTTTTTCATACTTATTTGTTTGGTTGACCATGCTTGGATGAGACACGTGAGTTCCATTCGTTTCGGGCATCCTTTCTCCTGTAGCTGCAACCATAACTCAGTAAGTTATATACACTTTTCCCATTAATAGCTAGAATCTTTTAAAAGTTTTCTGGGAGTTATCGGACTTGTTACCAGCTTTGTTGATCCCACTGTTAGCTTGCCCTTGGAGGCTTTTACTGAGTCTGTATTTCTGCCAACAGGCATATAGAAGGTTGAAAACACGTTTTATCTATAATAAATGAAACACACATGCACGCAGAGTGAAAGAATACATGCATATCTACAATGCACAGAGCACTTCTTTTCCTGTCATTGAGAAAGTAGGTTTTATAGTTTACTAATACTCTATATTTAGCAGATTTCTTAAGGGTTTTGTGGGAATTTAAAGTGGGGATTGTGTGATGTAACTGAAAAACCTGGCTTCTTATTTGAAAGGGTTTAGTTGGAAACTAAGTTGCGCATTGAATTGGCAATAAAGAATTCACCTGAAGGTGACTCTTCAAGTGGTATAAGGTTAGTCCTTGAATTCCCATAAGTTTCAAGACTGATTTTGGAGTAGCTTCTGCAACAGAAGAAATCATATTGATAGGTGAATACAGTAGCACTATATTGGGGCCTTGTGAGCTTGACATGTTGTATGCACTTACTGTCTGCTCCGCCAAGTTGATTAACTGCCTCTATGAACCGCTCATGGAGGTCCAGAGTCCATTTCAGTCTTGGCTTGGCATCGGTGGAAAGTACAAGTCCTGAATCTCCGGTTCCATTTGCACCTTGGTGGAACAAGTGCCTTTCAGATGGAGTGAACATTCTTGCAGAGGGCTGAAGGTTTTTTCCTTGGTGGTGGTGATGATACATTTTGTTGTCTTCATCGTGTGTTCGAAACAAATTAGCTTCATATTAAGAGCGAAAGGATAAGATCTATGGATTATGAACAAATAATATTTGTACCTGAAATGGTGAAAGGCTCCCGTTTCAATCTGCTTTCACCCACCCTTATATGAGAATTATGATTCTGCTATATTCTGCACACTGTAATTCTGCATTCCTGATAATTTGGTATACAGATGTTGTCTACAACAGCCCTTATCTATTTCTTGTTTTCTTTGATCAATTTTCATGTTCTAAAGCTGTGCTCAGGGATGTCTTATAAGTGAATGAGGAGAGGCGGGGTTACAAGTGAGGCAGAGAATATTGAACAGGGCCAACAAAACATTAGATCCAATCCAATCCAATCTTCACAGCACTCGAAAAGAGATCTTGCTGTTCCAATCTCACACATCTGTGGGTCCCCTCTCATGCAACTGCCCTTTCCATTATCCGACAGCTGCACTACCCACTTAAAATTCCTCTGCACTATGAATCTTGACGAACTTGACACCTTACACTAGGTACAAGAATAGATCCACCTGAGTCTTTCTTTCCCTGTGCATATATTTGTCATTTGTTAAATTTTAGGAACCATATTCCCAGAATGAATGGTGGAATTTTTTGTTCTGATGTTTATTGGAGGAACCCACTACAGACGATGCCTTGGAACCTTCAAAGCCTTTATTTTTTACCAAAAAGGATTCTGTTGACTGGAATTTAATATAGCATTATATCATTCACAGAAAAGAAGGTGGTGAGAGTATGAGACGGTGAATATATGCTTCATCTCAGGGTTGTTGAAATGGCGAGTTTGGGTAACAAATATTCTTCCCTTTTATTTCCCCCTATTTTATTTAATTTAGCTTTTGTTTGAGCCCAATTTTTGAAGGAAAAAAAAAAAGAGTTTTATAATCGTGTTTTTTTTTTGGAAAATGTGTAATTAAAAAGTAGGAAAATTTTTTGAGTTTACATGTAAAATTAGTTTATTAAAAGAATGTATAACTGAAAATGAATGTGAAAAAAAATAAATTTTTAAAGAATGGAGCGACTTAATAAAAAAAAGGTTGAACCCCAACCTCGAAGGCCCGGCCCGCTGTGAAGGAGGTAAATCGCAGTATGTGTTTCAACAGGCCAGGGTACGAGAACGGCTTAATAATAACAACTATGGTGTGCACTAGAATAAGGGGAGGTTGCGAATGACCTTTCATCTTGATCTCTAGTCTGATTTACAAAATGATCTTAGCTATTTGGAGTGCACGGACTTGATTTGAATTTTTCCACTCTAATTCCTTTGTATATAATATTGCCTCAAACAAATTTTTTCACGTTGGGGATGGCAATGGGATGGATCAGGGTCGGGGCAACCTTTCTTGCCCCTGCCCCGCCAAGCAATTTCCCACCTCGTCCCCGCGGGACGGGCCGAGCCGTGCCCGTTTACTATCCCATTTATTATTATTTTTTAAAATTATTTATAATTCATTTTATCGATCACAGTCATTGGAGTGAGATAACAATATATTTTCTCGTCTTTATTAATTTTTAAAAGTTAAATTATTCAAATATATTTGGTAAATTAAAACTTTTATTATTTTTCATATTTTTTAGATAATCTTAGTTGCTATCCATATTCCACACAAGCACACACTTGTGCTTGAGATTTAGCCTTTTCAATACGGGCTAGAGATTCTTTTAGTTATGGAATTTTTTTATGGGTGAGGAGACATTGCTGTGTTCTATAGATTTTTTCTGGAGCATCACATTGTAACCTACAGTACATTACTGCACCTATTTTATCTTTGATATTCTGTCACTGAATTTCGTCGTGCACTTTCTTCTTGTTATCTTAGCTCCAGTTCCAATTAAAATTATAATTTATTTTTCTCTTTTTTCTTATTAACTACACATTATCCAATAAAATAATATTGCATGTAAACCCAAATATATATATTTTTTTTAACCACGAATTTTTAAAAGAAAAAAAAATACTCAAATAATGGGGGCCAAACGGGGCTTAGTATTTATCTTTTAATAACATTTTTTATAAAAGGGGGAATAAATGCTTCTGCTTGGCTTTGTTTGAAGGCTAGGAATGGCATAACGAATGCATTCCTTTTTGTCTCCTTCAGTAAGTTTGGTACTTATTCAGCCTGGATGGAATTAATAAAGAGAGATGAGAGGTGCCAGTGTGATCTTTGAAATTCTCCAAATGGTATAAAGAATTGAGCCCTTCAAAAAGAAAATAAAGTATTGTACTTACTTCTATATAGAAAGCTTAACAAAAATCATTGCCAGAAGAGGACCACTTCCTTTCCCCTGACTTGAGACTTCAATCAACTTTGCAGATACTTGGACATAAATCTACACATTTTTGGTGCAAATTAAGTGTGTGTTTGGTAGAGATTTTTTGGGGGAAGAATTGATTTTGAATAGTGATATGATGGGAAATGTGTGGTTGAAAAAGAAGATAAGATTATTGATGTGATAGAAAATATTATTTTATTGAAGAATGTGTGGTTGGAAATGANTTGAATAGTGATATGATGAGAAATGTGTGGTTGAAAAAGAATATAAGATTATTGATGTGATAGAAAATATTATTTTATTGAAGAATGTGTGGTTGAAAATGAGAATTGATTTACTGTTGAAAATGAGAATTTTTACCAAACGTACCCTTACTTTTCTAATCTCTAGTGTTAGTGGGTTTTCAGGACATGTATGTATTTCTAGATATTGTTGAAGATATAATTCAATAGAAATAAATTTGTCATCTCTAACAGTTAAACTTTTACGTGCCGCGGTTCAAAATTGTATATGATCAAACAATGGCCCCAAGTTCAAGTCTCCTGACCAAATATTTATGAAAATTGTGCACGCATTAGACCTTTGAAGAAAACTTGCACGTGAGGGGCAAGGGGCATGAGAAGGCATAACTTAAATAATTTATTCTCTCTGACAACTTAAACTTTTACATGAGTTGTTCAAGATATAAGTCACCTTAAGACATAAATATAAATTCCTAAATGCACGTTCTCTATTTGCAAACCTCGATTAAAATATGTTTTTGAATGCTTTTGTTAAAGTGCTAGAACGTAAAATATTCATTCTAAGAAAGAAGTCTTGCATGTCATCTCATGTACATGGTACACTCATGTTGGATTCAACTTTACATCTTTCATCTTAAGGTTAAATTCATTGGTGGTCACTTAACTTTATATTTGGTCATCATGATAACCTAATTTAATTTTGTTTCACCATGACCACTCAACTTTATATTTAGTGTCACCATGACCACCCAAATTGATTTTATTTACAAAGACTATCCAATTTCATATAACGTTTTCACAATAACTACCCAATTTCATATAATATTTCACTATGGTTACTCAACTTCTTTATACCATTTTTATTAATTTTAAAAGAGATAAAACGGTACCTTTGCATTTAACAAATTTAAAAATAAAACAAAATAAAAAGTTATTTAAAAAAACGTTCTTTAAAAAAATAAAATAAAATAAAAACTTTTTTTAAAAATAAACGATTTAAGTTTTTATTTAATTTTTTTTCAAACTTATCTGTTAATGAAAATGATAAAAATAAGTTGGGTGGTTATGGTGAAATGTTACGTAAAATCGGGTGGTCATAGTGAAACGTTGTGTTAAATTAAAACCTTGGTGAAATAAAATCAAATTGGATGTCCATGATGACATTAAATATAAAGACGAATGATCATGATGAAACAAAATCAAATGGGTGGCCACCAGTGAATTTAATCCTTCACCTTATGATCATCAAGGGTGAATCTTATTTCATTCCTATGCTGAAATTATAGATTATTTTAAAAGCAAAAAGTATGCTTAAATGAAGATAAGAAATATAGTGAACTATGACGACATGATTAATTGCTGATTTTTTTTTTTTTTTAAAGTTTGTCTTTTATACAATATTGACTATGCCAACTAATTGATGCTCTACTAAGATGGAAAATTAACAAGGTAAATAACTTGTAGATGTGGCATATATTTAGTGCTGTCCTTGTGCATTAGTTCCAATTTTCTGAAAAAAATAATGTTATTTAGCACCTGTGATACCATAATATTTATATGATAAGTTCAATTAAAGGTGAAATTATGTAATTTATTTAATTGTACATTTCATTTAATGACACTTAATGCCACCTAAATTAGTATTGTAACATTAATGATATTAAATAACACTATTCTTTCTAGAAAGATCATTTGATTCTGATATGTAAGGATATTTTATGCAGTTTGGAGGAATCTTTAGAACCCTTTATGTAAAGGGTTAAAGTTAAATTCCTAAACAGTCTTGCTTGCATGCGGATAGGATTGCATTGCATATGGGGAATGATATGGTGCTCTTCAAGCTATATCATTAAATGACTCCTGACAAAGATAGCCAGTATTCTTATTAAGTAGTTTTTGGTTCTTTACAATCGCTTAAACATGTATTATCGATATTGTATGATGTAAACAAATATGCCCAACTTGTAAAGGGTTTGTATGTAAGAGCGAAAGAACTTACTAATTTGCTGACTACGTTATTTTTTCCCTCTGTCTGTGTATCTGCTTTTTCTTTGGTGGGGTGTGTCAAAGGGTTTTTTTTTATTCTCATTTGTTGTTTTATGTTTCTTTCTTGTTCACATCTCTTTCTGCTTGATTCAGGTTGAAATAATGGAATTGTTTCCTACTTCCAGAACAATTTGTTCCTCCTTGGATGCAGCTCGTTTTGTTTATTTTTGCACACATAATTTTGAAGGCCAAATATATGTCATCTTAACTCATACGACTTCTATTACCACTTTAATTCCAGACCAGACGGTAATATGACTATATGAGTTACAACTATGATATTTGATCAACTAAATTGCTTGCCCATATTTTAACATTTTCACTTTTGTCATTATACACAGATCTCTGGACAAGCTATATATAGAATAACTATTTATATTAACCTTTCATTTCATGTCTCTGTTAGAATTTGGGTGTGGCCCGAATTACTTGTTGAAGTAATTGAAGAATTCTAATTGTAGTTCACGTAAAGAAGAATTCAGTTTGGAATGTTATTTGAGCCATATGTCAAGTTGAAGTTCTATTTTGGAAGTCCATTGGGAGTTAGAAATTGGTATTGGACTTGAAGAAAAGTTTGGGATGAAAAAAATAACTTGGAAAAAAAATTAAGGCGCCGTCAAGTTGATGTTTTATTTTGGAAGCCCATTGGGAGTTGGAAATTAGTATTGGACTTGAAAAAAAAACACTTGGAAAAAAAATTGAGGAGCCGGGGCACCCGGCGGTGGCGCCTCTATTCCCTTTTTCGCGTTTTTCTCGCCGTTTTCATTTTGGACTCGATTTTTTGACATCCTACTTCATCAATAACCCTTCTAGGAGGGTTTAGATGTCCCATACATGCTCC